TGGTTGTGGTTTTTTTTTCTGTGCCTTCTTGTTTTGATTTCTTTTTTCCCCTCAAAATTCGCTTTCCCTGTAATTGTCTTTGTCAACATAGGCCTTCAATGCATGCAAACTCTAAATAAGAGAGTTGAAGAAGTCATCACATGCATAAGTACTCGAGCTTCATTGGCATGGCTCCTTGCGGTATCAGCATCTGCTTTAATATTTGTCATCCTTTGGCTTCAACTTGGATTGGAATACCATGTGGCTGTACAAAGACTAAGGCCAATTTTGATAAGCAGCTGTCAGCTCGGATTTTAAGCATGGCCCCCTCCGACACCAACAGATAAAGGTAGGGATGGTAATCATCCCAGAACAAAAGCAAGTCCAGCACCTCCTCAAGCTCCACCGGGCAGACATCCCTAGTACGAGGATCGTGTCTTGTCTAAGATTCGTAGTGACAGTAGGATATCATTGGATTTCACTGTGACCACATAGACAAAGAAGAGGGACTCTGACTTTTGTATCCGTTGCATGGTCTTCATTCTTGATTTCCTGCCCATATATGTACGAAACTGTATGTTTCCCAGGAAAAGTTAACAGTGAAGTTAACTGCCACCTTATGAATAAACAAATTGATAACCAGTTACCGTGGTATTACAATTGCAATCTTCTATTTTGTGCTAATTTATCTTGATTGAACCTGTTTCGTGAATGTAACTGTTGAAAAAAATTGTTACAGAAACTAAACTGAAAGAAGAAAAAAAAAAAAAAACTTGTCACATTGATCATTAGTAAAATTCTGATATAGTGATGCCAGACACTGAACTCGAGAACGGACAACTTTTTATTCATCTGAGTCTCCAAATTAGTAAATAAAACATAAACATGAGGAGAGCTGATTGACAAACAAAGAAAGTAAAATTCCAAGTTTCTCTCTCAAAAAAAAATGAGAAACTTTCTACATTATATCTTGTTATGTGAGATTTGAGGAAGAAAAAAACTGATGCTTCTTGGTACCCTAAGATCTGTATACATTCAATGAACAGAAGCTGAAATAGATTGCTGATTGTACATCCCAGTTACCCCACTTCTGAGCTGCCGGCTTTTCCTCCTCTTCGTGACAACTGTAAATCCTTCGGCATCCCCCCCTTCTTTTGTATTTACATCCGTTGTTTTTGGCTGCTCAGAGTCACTGGATTCAGAAAGCAAGTCCTTCTTTCCTTCATTTCCATAGTGAATTTTAATAATCGCACTATCATTTTCTATGGCATCTGAATGGTTTTCCTGCTTACTTTCAGTTACAGGATCCTTATTCTGCTGGACAGATTTTACTATGAAGCTGAGCAATATCTGCCTTGCAAGCTCCGACTTCTCAGTCTCCGAGATGCTCTTTCTCAAAATGCCATCTCCAGCTTTACTATTGGAGTTTACATCCCGTTCCTCCTGTTGAGACCTAGTAATTTCAAGTGAAGGATTTGATTCACTTGCAAGTTCTGCATATTCATCTATAGGATCCGCTTGCCAAACTCTCCCAGGAACAAACTCAGGAGCATGTGGATTCATGATTTTTGGAGGCCCAGAACCACCACTTTCTGTAATTTGTCTTTGAAATTTCTGAACACCTTGCCGCAAGCGGAAAGAATAATTGGTTTTATAATACAAAGGCGACCTTGGCCCACAAGGAACTCTAGCAGCTGCTGGGGGGAGTACAGGTGCTGAAAGCATTACTTGACTGGCTCTCACATCGTATACACTTGTAACAGCTGCCGGATTGAGAGGGTGAGTCGTTGCGAGTGGTCTTGGAGTGTATGGTTCTGCAGCAGCTGAAAGCTTACTTCCATTTCTTTCTCCAGACTTTTCCTCAACAATTTCAGGGGCTGTAGCTTCCAACTGGGATGCACTTTCAAGACCTGTTCCATCCAACTTGTCATCTGGAATTTCTTCTACTACAGAATCTCCTATGCTTTCGTCTATTTTTAATGTCTCAGGTGGAATTTCGCACGGCTTGGTTTCAGGGTTTTCCACATTTGGGTCTTCAACTTTATCCAGCAGTGCCTTTAGAACTGTACCTGGAGGTGCCAAAGCTACTTCTTTGTAAGACACAGTTTTCGAAGTCAAGTTCGTAGTGACTGGAGTAGTGGGAACTTTAGAAACAGAAGTTTTGGAATTAAGTTTAACTGAATCCTCCCCAGCACTCAAAGTACGAACCTTTGACTGTTTCGGTTGAGATAAATCAGTCAGAAAGCTCTTAGGAGCTGCATTCTGCGGTGATGAAATGATGTCCCTCCAGTATTTGCCTTCTCTAAAATTAGAATATTCACTCTCTGGCCTCCTTCGACCAAACCTCCGGCCTGTAGCGGTACTCCCAAACCGGACCTTTGAACCGGCTTCTTGCCAACCTTCATCTGAAGTTGTTTCTTCAACAGTTAAGCTTGTAATTGGCAAACCAGTTCCAGAAATTTTTTCTTCCTCTGGTTCCTGATGAACCGATCTATCCTCAACTACTTCAGTATTACCATCTAGCAAAATCTTGTTCCCGAGGTCATCATCAGCTATTACATTTTGATGTTCCTGAGATATATTATCACTCGACTGATGTACCTGAAAATAAGGAGAAATAATGTAAGGATATCAAACATGAAAGATGAGCTTAAATAGATATCATATTACAGTAACATCACCCGCTTCCATTGGATCTCGCCCAATGTCCAATTCAATGTTCTATGTCCAAATGAATAAAGACTCTAAAGGGAAAATAAAAGAAGAAACCTATCCACCTTTGCACGCCGCTGCTTCCTATGAGCATCATTTACTTTCGAATCTTGATCGGGACTAATGAAATCTAGGAGATCTGACACACTGCACAGAGCCGAAAAGGGTTAATTGCCTGTACATATGATCATATAATTTGGAAGAAAGTAATCTGGGAATACCATATTAGTACCTAAGGTGACCTTTGCTTGCAATTAATGCATCTGGCTTTGGGGATCCATTTCGTGCTGCTTCTTGCTGCTCCAGAGATTTAGATTCAAAATATTCAAGCCATGCAGCTGCGTCCTGCTCAGGAATATATAATTCATTAATATGTCGACTATGCAACTTCAAACTATGTCTAATATAAGCCATGGCCATTTCATTTCCTTGTAGTGAGTAACAGAGAAGGCCAATTGCACATAATGTATCAAATAAATCCAATAAATATAGACAATAGCAAAGATTCTGTAGTCAACCTGAGTACGAAGATCCTCCAGCCCAAGTTTGGCCTGAAGTATCTTAAGCGTTGTTTGCTCATGCTGCACACTGAGGGAATATGCTTCCATCAACGAAAGAGCTATGGCTATGGCATGATAGCTTGCAGCAGTCTAAAAGGTGAAAACCATGTAAGAAGTTCAGCTTACCAGAGATTACATATTCTAAGTGTTTACAGAAGAAGGTGGGCCGTACATGCAGGCATGCAGGCTCACGAGTACGAGCACAACCACACAGAGAGAGAGAGAGAGAGAGAGAGAGAGAGAGAGAGAGAGAGAGAGAGAGAGAGAGAGAGAGAGAGAGAGAGAGAGAGAGAGACCTGTATATGATCTGCTCCTAATAGTCTCTGATTGCATTTGAGAGCTTCGTGCAGGTATCTGAGAGCAACATGTACATTTCCCATGCCCTCTTCCATCATAGCCACATTTATGTACGTTGCAGCAGTATTAGGGTGAGATAGTCCACATGTAAAATGAAGAAGATACAAAGCACGATTTACATACCTACCAAGAACACACAAATCAGAACCGTAAAGAAAAAGTGAACACAAAATTTACAGGAAATATGTTAGTAAAAATAAGTATGAATCACAGTTGCCAATTTCATTGAAAAGTTATACAAGAAATGATTAATTCAACTTACTTTAAAGCCAATTCAATGTATTGAAGACGATAATAGAAAACAGAAAGATCCCCATAGCTTTTCATGGTATCTGGATGATCAAGCCCAAGTTCCCTTTCATTAATAGCTAAAGCCTTCTGCTGATAAATGGTTGCCTAGACAATGACAGCGAGGTATAAGATATACGGTATATAGAAGAACAGGATAAAAATATAAACGCGATCCATTACAGTTGAAAGTAATACCTGATTAAAATCACCAGTGTGGTAAAGAACTACCGCTAGAAGGCTGTAAGCACTCGCTGTAACTCGATGATAGGGGCCACAAACAGCTATCATCTTTGCTAGTGCCTTAAAATGGAAGAGGGAAAATCAGTATCAGAAAAGAGCTGGCACAATTTCAAATTAATATAGAGGTGGTACCTTTGTTCCAAAATTAACAGCATCCTCCAGCTTCCCTTTATCAAGAGCAATTTTGGAAGACTCCAACAAATTCCGTCCATCTGCTGAAGAGCATGCTACATGCTGTCAAAGAAGAATTAAAGAAATATTAGACATTTAGAATCCGCCAAAGCTGGGTTACTAAGAGGGGACTACTGAACAGAATAACACCTTACACACTGGAACCATGCTAATAATGTCGTATTTGCTGAAAGGATTTCGGAAATCCATGTCATAATCTTTCGGGGCCAACTCCAGACCAACCTGGAAAGAGAGACATGTAAAAATCATGACTCTGCTTTAATTGCATATCAGTGAGGCTCTCAGTCAAAATTAAAATACCTTATGACAAAGTCCTCGGAGAATTGATAACTTCCTCAAGTGCTGAAATTCATCTTCTAGTGTCCAACCAAATCTTCTGGCCAGGAATAATCGTAACCATTGCAATTTGAGGACATCATCTTCCATCCCCGAAGCACCAAGTAGAAAATTTAGGGTTGAAGCAATTGCCACAGGTAAGTCAGTTATGTTGTCAACACAAGCAATGACGGCTTCAAGCATGTGCTTGAAAGCTCGAATAACCATCTCATGAATACAAAGTGACTGTATATGAGGAAGCTTCTCCGACAGTGCAACCTAAGTTGTTAAGACAACATTAGGAACAGAAAAAGAAAACAAAAACTCAAATTCACTCCAGGACAGAGACCAGTGTAAAAAGGAATGGTAGCAGTAGCAGAAAGAGACAGAGAGCTGACATACCACACGACCCAAAGAGCGCATCTTTAGTCCCCTCAAATGCATGAAGTCTGTTAATGTACGGCCATCAACTGGTGAAAGTTCAAGGGACCCAAAGTCTGTTACCTAATGAAGTGAGAGATTTAGATCATAAGCTCTGTAGAAGACACTTCTTGTATGATAAGAGTAAAGTCACTGTAAACAGAACATTACCAGCTTTGGCAGGGCAATTTCATCATAATATTTGTGTGCCATCTTGATAAGCTCCTCTGCTGACTGCCAGTGTCACAACAAGCAAGCTTAAACTGTTAATATCAATGACGCAAAAATAGTACTACAAATTGGGAAAATGTGGCTTTTTTCTTTTTAAATCAATGTCACATAGTTGCAAATAATTGCAGATTCAAACAGTTGTATTTGAAATAAGTCTAGTAAACCTTCAGATGAAGATTAGTTCCAGTTTCTTTCAGACGCAAAAAGGCTTCTTCTGAAAGTAACTGTTTCAAGTCAGAATCATTGCTGATATCTCCATTGTGTAGCTCTAATGTTCTGTTGTTGCTACTTCTGCTTTCACTAGCATCAATTTCTTCCTCATCATATGTTCTTTCGCCACTTGTTTTCTTTTCCCTCTTCTTCAATAGTTTAAATTGCTTTCCTAGACCTTTCACAATTGCTTCAGCTTCATTATTGTCATCAAGACTATCAGAGTCGCTAACTACAGAGGATTCCTGCTTTTGTAAATGCTGCACCCAGCAGGAACCAAGTTCCCATCTGATAGATCTTTCAGAATTCACAGGTTCATTCTCAAGTTTTGTCAAACTCTCTTTTATTACTCTTCGAACCAGACACCTAGAAGTTTCTAAGCTATCCAAATCAGAGGAAGCCAATGATTCAGTTTTGAACTTTTGAAGCAGAACCCTCAAGCTGTACAAAAATTTCCAATGAATCAGTGAGTATAAAGAAATAACATGCATGATACTATATAGCATGTTCCTGAGAGAGGAAGAACAGCTTCCTATGAAGCTTCAACCATATACACTGCTTCCAAAACAAAATTGTTAAAAAGAAAATGGTCTGAACCTGTTGACATTAAGAGAATTGGCTCCTCCATCTGGTTGATCTTCAACATCAATATCTTTAGCCTGACGGTTCCCCTTCTTTATATTACCAACAACTTTAACTGTTGCAGTGTATCCACAGTGCCTTACATTGACTACACCCAAGGAGGAAGTATCCTGCAAAAGTACTATTTTGTTTCATCTCTTCACTCTAACAACTTATATTGTACCAAAATACAACCCTCATAATACACCAAAAAAATAAATGAACTTGACCTAAACAATGACTGTAATAAGAAATTAGATCAGGAAAAATAGAAATTATAATACAATGGAAAAAATAACATTCAAGGATGGTCAGTGGAGTTGCATTTCTTATTTATTGAACAGGCATAGATACAGATACATATATACCGACAGTTATAAATATACTTACATGAACAACCACACTCTCATCAGAAGTTAAACCCTTAAGTAAACACCTCTGAGCAACTTCCTTGGCGGACATACTGCATAAATGGTCGCCATTAGCTTTCACTTCAGACTTCGACCATGCTTCTGTTGTATCACGTTTTACAACTATGGACAAGTCCCCAACACGATCCTCAAAAAGAACACAGCCTTGAGAACAATTCACTGTCTCCTTTGCATTCATACTGGAGCCTATTAAAGCACGTATTGCTGAAGCAGCTTTAAAGACTGAGACATCAATAAATTTGCTATGAAGCAAAAAGGCCTTCCGGTCTCGGACTACCCTCTCCTCCTCAGTTTTGCAAGGAAGGCAAGCTAGTATTGCAAAATCTGTAGCCCAGGGTCGAAGATCATATTCACCATTTCTTCCCTGGCCTCCACCATTTCCACCCCAATTTTCATCTTCAGTTGGTAGGGGTGGAAAATCTGATGGAGACTCAGCAATTGATGGAGGCACAAGCCATGTATTTGCTCGAAAACCATATGGAAGATCACCAAACTAAATAAAAGAGGAAAAAGGGAAACAAAACACACATTAAATGAGGAAATAACTCAAATATTACTCGTTTCAATTAAAGTACATAGACATTAAAATTATTTCTAACCTTGTTATGATCAACAAAAGCTTTTGTCAAGGATTCATATGCCTGCAATTACCAGACCATATCTAGTTAAACAGATAAGTAAAAAAAAAAAAATTCAAGAACAGAAAATTAACATTAGGAAGTTTCAGAAATGCACGCAAGAAGTATCCATCTGAACTATTGCATGCACCTTGGAAGTAGATTTACTGATTCAAAAGTGAGGAAGGAGGAGAAAATCATATCTAGCTTCCTGAATCTCACTACATTTTTTGAGTGAAAGGATTAGATTGAGCCAAATCCAAAATCACCAGAAGTACATATGTAACATATGTTGCTAGCCGTTTTAATCATTTTTGCTTGGGCTGACGCTATGGATTTATAATTAAGGTATAACAGAAGTACAAGTACTCACATTCGCAAAAGCTCTGCTGAGCTGTTGCAGAAGATCCACCAATGAGTGGCTTTGTAAAAACTGTTTCCCCACAGTGTAGAACCCTTTGACAGATGCAACCACTTGTATTTGCTTCCCATTGCAAATCTTAATCTGCACGGATTGACCACATTTTCAGAGAGGGCAGAGGTTGTCAAAACAATATCGTATGAACAAGAAAATGATGAAAGAAAAACAACAGCGATAGTAATATACAAAACTACTCAGACACGAAGATAGATGTAGATTCCGAGCCTCTACATTTACAAATTATCTATTTACCCACATTTCGCAACATTTAGACCATTCTAAATGGATGATGTTTAGGTAAGAAAAAATTCATGCATGTAACAAATTTCTTTTTCTTATTAATTGTCACAGAGAAAATGATAAATAGATCCTCATTATTTTAAAATAATTTTCTTCCGACCAATCTTCTGTCATACGTACCTCAAATTGTCTTTTCCTACTGTAATCTCATAACACTTTACACGTGTTTTTGGGACCCTACCAGGATAATGTCATTGATGCCTAACTTTTCAAGTTCCTTTTTTCCATAGTTATGTCACAATAATACTTGTTCCACTCACTCATCTATCAATGATTTATCGAAATTATTACACAACGTATATAATAATAATAAAATCATGTAAAATATTTCAAAATCTTTAACCACCCAAAAGAGATTCGGTTTCGCACTTGGTTACCGAAATTTTACTACAATGTGAAAGGCATTATACCCGTGTTTGACCGCCCATGTTTAGTATTAAATACGTACAACTTTCACGTGCCTAAAAATTTATGTTACATTCCAGGCCTGTGAAGGTCGTACAATTTTTTACTTTTTTTTTTTTTTTTTTTAAACTTTTAACGAAATAGAAAAAAATATATATATATACCTGAATTTGAAAATAGTCACCATCGCGCCTCTCGTGTGCATCGTCAGCGTCCAATCTCCTCAAATCTACAAAACATTAGATTAGTGAAAAAAACGAAAGGTGGATATTTTTCCACGTTTTCTGAGGAACCAAACAGAGAACTCAGAAAATGAGTTGAAAGAAGAAGACTCACGGAGGATGGGAGGGGAGAGGTGAGAAAAAGAGAAGAACTCGTAGAAGTCGGAGAGCTTCGGCGTCGGATGAATGGCTACCATCCCGAGGCTCTCCGAGATCGCAGAAACGGACGGTTCGGATCGCGCTGAAGTCGCACGTGCACTTCCCCCATTGGACGGCGAAGTTGGCCCGGAGCTCCTGTTGTCAAGCCTACCGCCGTTCTTCTTGGACTTCGAGTCCGGGTTAGAGGCAGACCGTTTGGGCTTGGCGAATCGGGTCGTGCAGGCTACCAGGTCGAGCAGCCGCCGCACGTGGGCCTCGGCTTGGGCTTTGTCGGTGTAGTCCTCTGAAAAAGTTTAAACACTTTTAACATATGATGAAATTTGGTGACCTATCTACTAATTGGGAAACGAAACAAAAAGGCTTCATATTCTTTGCCTTTTCCTTCTTTTTGTTGTCTTGTTGATACAAAGAAATTAAATCATTACAAAAATATATAAAGTAAAATTTTAAATTACTAAATTATACAAAGAATGATTCAAACTCGGGTGCAAAAGAATAAAGCAACTAATTAGACCATAAATTAGAACAAAAACGTATAAAGTAATATTTTAAATTACTAAATTATACATAGAATGATTCAAACTCGGGTGCAAAAGAATAAAGCAACTAATTAGACCATAAATTAGAACAAAAATGTATAAAGTAATATATTAAATTACTAAATTATACATAGAATGATTCGAACTCGGGTGCAAAGGAGCATAGAGCAACTAGACTAACCTAAATTTGCAAGAGAAACTCCTTTCATAAATATTTTTTTACCAGTGAGATTATAATAATCTAGCATGCAATGGCCCAAAATCTATAGACTAATAAAAAAATGTTGTCCTTTATGTATTATTCTAGTTGGGAGGGAGGATCATGCTAAACTATCGTACACTTTGTCTTTGTGTGACAATTAACTTTTTGGCTTTTCTGATATGTAAAACACTTAACCCAAAGTAGTAATTGACTTAAAATAATAGAACGCCAAAATGGCACCAAGATGGTTGTTGCCAGTCTGGTTGATGCTGAATTACAAGGATGCCGATTTCACCTACCTTCAACCATTTTCAGAAGACAGGGTTTCAGACTAACAACCTCAACCCTATCATTCAATCTCCGCCCCTTGACCTGAAAATGCCAAAAACGAAAAGGCCAAAACAAAAAAAAATCAGTTTTGAATTTTCAAATTGGATTAAAATAAACTGAGTGCCATAAACAAAGTTCTTGGAAAGGGAAATTAAATCATCAAGTTTGAGAAAGGCTTACTTCATGAGACAAAGAAAAGTTTGTGAGATGGCATGTCTCTACATTCACAGCCAGTAGCCTTCTTACATCAAGTATCTTGTCAGTGGAGATACCCTTCATAAAAAAAGTCATCAATTCAGCCAATGAAATCTTTTGCTAAAATGAAATGAAATCTTTTGCAAAAATGAAATGAAATTTTGAAAGAAAGAAAAAAAATCAGCACCTTCAGAATGACTTGTGTGTCATAAGGGGTAGTGACAGTGATGTCAAGAACACTGGGAACTGCCAATACAAGAGATGAGAGTACAAGTTCAAAACCAGATTTTTAATTTAGTGGGGAAATTTCAGAAAACTGGGGAAATAAATTTTACCCTTCTCTTCTTTCTTCTTCTTGTCAGACTTGGCCTTGTTGTTCTTGCCTCTACCTGACTTTGGGGCCATTGGATTGGATTGGATTGGATTGGATTGGAGTGGAGTAGATTGGATTGGATTCTCCTCTTGCTTCAGTGAATGCTATGTGTATTTAAAAAGAATTTGAGAAACCCAGTTGAGAAATTACTTAAACACCACTCAAAATTGACCAGAATTAGTGGAACACTGAACAAAATACTGATGAACATGCAGAAACAGAAGAGGAAGAGGAGCATGAAAATAGAAAAGGGTCCAAGAGACTTTAGAAAGAGAGTGAGGGGAAGTAAACAAAACTTTTTTTGTGAAACGTCTATCAGGAAAGATAGGATAGGGCTTTACCTCCTTTTGGATTTGTGAGCAATTGTGGCCTCTCCTTCTGGCTAAAAAACCTGATATTGCAC